CTAGGTGCAAGCGCAAAGAAACAGGGCAAACTGAACCTATCACTCTCCCTGATAGGGTTTCCTGGCCTGGTAGATCCAGGCAAGGCCATAGACACCCCAGATCTCTCAAATGCAGTAATGTTTTGAAAAAAATGAATGAAAATATGTGCCCAGGATTAGGGCACAGTTAGGAGAATCATTGTGTGGTGAACAAAGGAGGCTGAAGGGTATTATTAGTGGATGGTTGTAAAACTGGAAGGTGGTGACATGCCACGGTTCTCTGTCCTTGGCCTGGTCCCATTCACGTATTTGTTCACTCACTCACTCACTCAATCACTCACTCACTCACAAGCATTAATTGAATGGCAATGATATACTAGGGCTTACGTCAAGAACAGGGAATTTGGGATGGACACCAAAATGTGCCACGCAGAATCTTCTTCAGAAGGGTTCCTTGCACCAGCTGCTGGAAGGGCTATCGGCAGCCTTCAGTTGTCAGCACCTCAGGATCTGCCTCAACTGCAGAGTGCTACCTAACCCAAGGGCATGCCCCTTCCTAGTGTGGCCCACATCAGAGCACTGATTGATTGAGCAGTATCAAGGTTATTCATCTTAGCCAAACTCACACTAACTCTGAAGGCTCCTACTAGTTCCCGAGTTTCCCTGGGATCAGCACAGCCTGTTGTTGGTTGTGTAAAAAAGCTCAACTTCTCCCTCTGCCCACCCCACACCACAGGTATTAAGTCCAAGGTCACTCCTTAATAAACATCCTGCACACTAATCTTGGAGTTGGAGTCATTCTGCTTCATGGAAAACTCACTGGTAAAAGAAGGGGCTTTATCCTTTGTTCATCCTTTAAAGAGTACAACTATAATCAAGGACAAAAACTATTTGGTTTAATAAAAGGAAGATTTTTCTTTCAACAGTGGAACAGTCTGCCTCAAAAAACAGTGAACCTGCATAAGCAGAGGGACACTGTACTGTTGTTGGAGTGTCTCTGTTCACCCTGCTGTTAGCTAACAAGCAGCACAGTATCACTAGTATTTATAAATTAGTGATTAGAAAATTATTTTAGAACATTCTGGATTCAATAGGCACTGGAAATAATTTTAAACATGTATGGGAAGAAATCCCATTTCCTAATGAACTCCCTGAAATAATTTGAGATTACTTAATTCTAACCTTAAGATGCAGATACAATATAATTCAGGACAGAGTGGCAGAAACTAACTGTCAAAGTCCACCAATGGCCATTTGTTCTTTTGTCTTTTACTAATAAAACCCTGAATGTTAGCTGGCTACATGTTTATCTAGCAAAACACTACATTTTCCAGACTCCCTTGCAGCGAATGTGTCCATGTGATTAAACTGTGGTAGTGGGATCTGGGTGGTAGTGATGCGTGCAACTTCTGAGTTAAACTCTTAAAGAAAACCTCTTTCTTTTTATTTCTTCTTTCCTCCATCCCAAGGCTGGTACATGGAAGTACTTGTGGTGGTAAGGCAGCAGTGCCGCTCTAGGAAAGGGGAAGCAATAATGCAGAAAATTCCTGGGTTTTTGAGTGACCACTGGAGTAAGACTCTTTTACCTCTGGACTGCCTATCAGCTTTGACTTTTATGTGGGAGAGAAAGAAACCACCTATTTAGTTTAAGCCATTATTATTTTGGTCTCTGTTAAAAACAGCTTAGCAAATATTCTAACTTACACAGATACCAAATCAACATCTCAAACCTGAGTGATGTTCATTCTTTGCCCTGTAAGCATGGTATCTTTTCAGCAGACTGGAAAGTGGTAAGAATAAGAACTATTACCTTTACCTGTGAGTTAACTCTTGTATTATCCTTCTGCCTTTTTGGTGTTCTGCCCCACATTATATTTTATTTCTATATAAAAATCAAGGGCTAAGGTAAAATCTGGACTACAATTATGTTTATTTGTCTAACTATACAGTAGGATTGTTGCCAGCAATTAAAATCTTGATTTGTCTTGCTGCTGAGACTTTGTCTGGAGAAGTAATTTTCAGATAAGTTTATATTGTATATACACATAATTATATGATTCATTCATTTCTCCCATTTCATTCATTAATTTGACTGTCCAATATATATAGCAAAACTATTCAAGTAAAAAAAAGACCAATTCATGATAAAAGAGAACAAATTAGTTATAGTTCATGGATACATATTAACAAATAAATGAAAAGAATAAGTGAGGCACAACTTTATCTTAAAAACTTCAAAAGAAACATAAATCAGAAGTCCAACGTAAATCATTGTTATGAATAATTTATTATTTGACATTTTCTCATTTCTATTAATGTAATGATTTATGCTTTTGTAGTATAAAAACCATAGCTTAAATAAAACATTCTGATATATCATTAACTGGTGTAGACCCTATTTCTTTTTTAGTACCTGAAGAAAATATAGATATATAATTGTCTGCTCTTTGGGCTGGAAACATGTAAAGTCCAAAATCATTGTCATTTTTATCATGGCACCAGCTGGATTTCAGGTTATTTCTACTTATCTGGCTCTGGAGAGGAAGTGCTACATATGTCATTTATAAAATATATGTACATGATTGGGCGCGGTGGCTCATGCCTGTAATCCTGGCACTTTGGGAGGCCGAGATGGACGGATCACCTGAGGTCAGGAGTTCGAGACCAGCCTGGCCAATGTGGTGAAACATTGTCTCTACTGAAAATACAAAAAGTAGCCAGGCATGGTGGTGAATGCTTGTAATAACATCTACTTGGGAGGCTGAGGCTGGAGAATCGCTTGAACCCGGGAGGTGGAGGTTGCAGTGAGCAGAGATTGTACCATTGCTCTCCAGCCTGAGCAACAGAACAAGACTTTGTCTAAACAACAACAACAACAACAACAACAACAACAACAACAACACTATCTATATCTATATCTATCCGTATCTACCCATGGGTTATCAAGGAGAGGGCAAGGATTCTAAAGCCAAGAATATGTTTTCAGTTACAACCTCTCTTTAAACTTATGTGCATCCAGAAACATGCTCACTCTTTCCTAAAGTAATGATAACAGCTTACTCTTCCACACCAAGTATAAAAAATTATAAATATTTAGGAATCACAGGAATAGGAGATCCAGGTTCTCACATCATAGAGAACAAAGTGGAGGTGTGGGTGCTGGGAACGGGAGCTGAGGGTCCCTTGGTCTGTGGTGTTGTTGATTTGCAGAAACAGAGTAACTCCGAGGTCACTCTCTCTGGGTGTCTCCATCTAGTTTTCACTCTGCTTCCCTTAACACTTTTTCTTCAGAATCTTAACCACACCATGTCAATATATTTCCTTAAAAACAGATGTTGAAAAGAGCTCAGAGTAAACCACCACTTTTTGCTGCATCCTCAGCAATGTATCTGGCTGGAGGAATAGCTACCAGGTAACTTAGCCATGCATATTCTATTCAACAGAGGGAATCTCTTCTTTCCTGGACTCAGCTACATTCCGGCAAACATCCACTATGTTTCTGGGACTCTGCCAGTACATTTGCTTTCACATAAATTTCTTCACTTAATCCTCTGAACTTGCCTTCTTTTACTTACCCCAGGTAGCTTCCAAAGGGCCAGTTTATTATACAGAGAATAAACTCAGAGAAGTGAATAAAATAAACTGCACAGACATGGCTATAAACTGGTTTTAGACACTTAAGGAGATTTTTAGTAAAAAATATTATTCAGTAAGTGAAAAATAATTTGAAAGATGCCACTGAAAAGTGAAAGAGTGTGCATTTAAAATACCACCATTACTAGAACTCACAGGCCAATATGTAACTATAAAATCTGCACCTTCCATTGCAGAAGGAAAAGAAAACTAATACATTTCATGCTTCCCTTTTCAAGAAGACATCTTAAAGTAGCAGGGGAGTGTATGATTAAAAATTGCTTTAAATATTGTTTACTGTGGTTAGTTACTCTTAGCAATCATTTTGGTTGTCACCAACAGCAGCGATCAAGTCCGTTATAAGCATTAAACACTAAAGAAAGCATCATGATAGACATTTTTCATGCCAGTGAGGCAAAAGTTTATTCTCAAAAGATGGATGATTACAACTCATTTAGAAAGGTTAGTTGAGATGTTTCCTGAAGCATCTTGAAAATGGTTCAGCGTTTATTAACTGCCCTGTTCAAGGGGAATGCTGTACAGAGATCTCATCTCTCTAAAGAAGATGCCAAGAACATATTAGCTGCCAGTTTGAGAGCCTTCATCTGTTCCTCACAACCATTTTTAGAAAACAATGGTGGCATTTATCAAACAGAGAAAAGACTGTAAATGTTGGAACCCAGAATTCAGCAATTAAAGACATTTAGTAGCTGGGAATTGGGGAATGGAAGCGCAAATTGTGCAAAAATACCTCTTTTTTAACCCCAAGTCTTAGTTTGTCTACAGGAAAATACCTATTTGTATAATATAAATAGAACAATTACTCATATCTGAGGTACCTTAAAGATAAGATTATTTAAGTCAACTTGATAATACAATAGAATGAAGGATATAAGTCTTAAGTTCGATTTAGACCATGATTTTGATTAATTTTTGGTTTTAGAGCATAGCAATACAAAAAATAACCAGTTTCCTTCCATGTATTTTCACGTGGTGTATCACAGAAAAGGAAACTAAGATGGGTTTTTAAAAATCACTGTTAGCAAATCTGTGAACTTCATGTTGTTTCTAGTTGCTAAGTCTGCATTAGAGATAAGTCTGGATAATCTTTATTATTTTTTCTTTTTAAAATGCTTGCAGGAAAATAAGTCAAAAGAAAATGTGGTTCCATGTGTTTTTCACCATTTTGAAAAGCACAAGGACTGCAATATAAAATAAGTACAACTTTCTCAAGCTAGAATGAGCTTGTTAAGGTCTATAGAATTCATTACATGGTGACCATATGCAGGCTTCAATTTAAGGAGTTTCTGATTGACTTAATGCATACAGGCAGAACATAGCTCTGTTCAATCTCACTAAAGTTCAACACACACACACACAACACTCACCACTGGTGATGGGGAAAGTGCGATGTTGCCTATTGATGCCTTCAATTCATCTACAGTTGCAGCATTCTTAAGAATGTCTTTAGATTGCAATGGTTTAATCTTGATATTAAATTTCTTATGTGATTCTTCTTCTTCTTCCGATTCACTCGAAGAATAAAAGTGCTTTCCTTTGGTAGGTAGAACACAGTTAAAGATACATAACTCTTTCTTCTACTGGGAGGCAACCACTCTAAGACAAGAGTGTTTGCATATAGAGACAGCAAAAGTATCCTTAGATGGCAGAAAATCAAAGCAAAACATACAAAAGTAAAGGAGGAAAGGGTTAGAACTTATTCACCTTTCCTCAGAACATGATCAAGGATGGTGAATTTCACGAAGCAATGGTTCCAATATTCTACATTTTTGCAGCGGTCGACCATTTGTTGTGTCATACTCTGCACACACAGACAAGCACATGTGAGCTGACTCATCTACAGAGAGAGGAAGGCTGCTTTACAGATGATCCACGAGGAGTTTTAAATGCATCAGTGTGACATGCTTTGCCCAGGGATGAATTGTAGGGAGAGGACAGCAAGAGCTATTTTCTAGTTGCTATAAATGACAGTCATATCAGGGATTAGCAGACAGCCCAGTACCCACCATTTCCACAGTTGTTTTTTCAGCACATTTTTCTCTTTCTCCTCTCTCTTTTCTATGAATAGATTAAGGCAAAATGCCTGCTTGCTAGAGCTCAGGCTGTTCTCAGTGCTGTTTATTCATCTCTAATATTAGGGATAACAGGACTTGTGAAGATTAGGTTATTTCATTACTTTTGTAAAATCTGAATTTATTTTACTGTTTCTTGAGAGTGAATGAAAATTAGAATAAAAAAATAAAGAAAGGATATAGCCGGGTTCCTCGGGTCTGATGCTATAGCCTTCTTCATCCAGCTCAGGTGAGTTCTATAAAACACAAGTGCATATGAAGTGATTATTATCCTAACAGTGATCAAGAAATTATTTTTTTTCTAGAGTCTTCTATTTAAGCATATAGAAAAGTCTTTTCTTTTAGGAGATGAAGCTTCTAACTTTTGGAAGTGAATTTTGAGCAATATGTTTAGATATTTACTCAAGGACACTTGGAGTGTCCTCCTACTGTGAAAATAAACAAGGAGGAATCAACTGTCAGTGAAAGAAAGCATTCAAACAGAATTTAACATTCATTTCCTGTAAGCAAGGACTGTGCTAAGCAACATGGGTGATAAGAAATGCAGATTACTTTTCCTCAGGGAAATTGAAATGTGTTTTGGTAGGTAAAAATTAAAAAGAAAATATAAAACACAAAACACCTGTGTTAGACAGGGTTTAAAGAAGAGGAAATTAGTGAAGTTTAAAAGAATCAGAGAGGTCTTTATGGGTCTTTCAGGACAGACAGGAGAGGGCAAAGTGGGAGCTCCTTCTGGATGGTAAGAAAGAGCCTGTTCAGAGACACCAAGATGGGAGCAGACACTGGGTGACTCAGATGGGGAAACAGAGGGGAAACAGCAACGGTGACATGGCTAGAGAAGAAGCTGCACAGTGGGAGATGGGGAGATGAGACTATGGAGGCCAAGAGGCCAGGGGAAGAGTTTGGACTTGAGGTAGCTACTGCAGCTTCTCAGCTAGGGTGGGGCATACTGAAAGCAGGATCTTAAGGAGTTCTGGAAGTATGTTCCAGGATAGCCTTGGGGCTGAAGAACTGGAGAAAGAAAAACTAATTCAAAACATGTGCATCCATTCAGGCAAGATGTGCTAAGGACATGGATCGAGTTACGGTGGGATGGGATAACTCAAGGATATTTGAAAGGATGGATTGTTGGTTCTTGGTAACAGATCAGTCATAGGAGAAAAAGCAGAGGGAAGGTTAAAGAGGAATCCAAGATTTCTACCCTCAAATTGTGGGAGAGTGCTGGTACTCCAAGTTGAACTAATTCTAACAGCAGACAACTAACATTTTTTTGGAAAGAAGCAGAAAACATAAAAAGGCAGTTTGTACTGTTGGGATTAGAATGATAGCATTTGGATTCTTACTACATGGTAAGCATTGTGACCCATACTTTACCTCACTGAACCACACAACAAACATATGTGAAAAGAATTATCCCATTTATCAAGGGGGGAAATAAGATAAATCAGACACCATTTCTCAAGGAAACACACCCAGCAAATGTCAGACCTAGGTTTTGACCCCAGCTGTTTCAGACTATACCCTATGTCCTAGAGGGGAGGAAGATGAAGCATTTGTAGGTGGCCCTGTTGAAGTTGAGGTTGTAGGTCTGTCCGTGGGAGAAGGCAGAGTTGGAGAGTTAGTTTGGGAGTTAATAAAGCAGTAAAAGTGCCATAACCATGGAGAGAGAAGAGGGTCTACATACCAAGGAAAAAAATCCCATTAAACAAATTCATTTTTATTGTCTATATTTAAGATATACAACATGTTTTGATATGCATATACATAGTAAAATGACTACTACAGTTAAATTTACATTTCTGTTACCTTCTATGGTTGCCCTTTTTATGTGTGTGTGTATGATAAGAGCACCTAAACCGTTAGCAAATGTTTAGTACTTTAGATATCTAGACTTCATCTCACCTTACTGCAAATTTGTACTCTTTGAGCTACTTCTTCCATTTCCTTTCTCTTTTTGTCCCTGCTGACTACTTTTCTACTGTTTCTATGTATTTAACTTCTTTTTCTTTTCTTTCTTTCTTTTTCTTTTTTTTTGAGACAAAGTCTCTCTGTTTCGCTCAGGCTGGAGTGCAGTGGTGCGATCTCAGCTCACTGCAACGTCCGCCTCCCGGGTTCAAGCGATTCTCCTGCATCAGCCTCCCATATTTGACTTCTTTTTAGATTCTGCATATAAGCAAGATCATACAGTTTTTTTCTTTCCGTGTCTGAAACTCACCATTTTTTTGAGCATTTATTGTGGTCTTCCTCTTTTCCTCCTTCTTCAGTTCTCAGAGGTGCTTTTTTTTTTTTTTTTTTTTAAATACAAGTGTATTGAGGTCACTTACCTGCTAAAAACTGCTCCTGGCTTCTCACTGCATTTAGAATAAAAGCCAAGTGCCCCTGTGTAGCCAATAAGACCCAGCAGGGCTGGCTCCTGCCCCTCTCTCTAGCCTCGCATTTGTAATTATCTTCCACTGATCCCCTCTCAGCCACATGTTCTCTCCTTCCCAATGTTTGTGATTTGGGTGCTGCAAGCACTGTCTCATTTCAGAGACCTCATCAATGCTGTTCCCTCTGCCTGCAATTCTCTTCCCTCAAATGTTCAGCCAGTTAGCCTCTATGTATATGTTAGGCCTTTGCTCAGAGGTCACATCCTCCCTGAAGCCTTTCCTGCCAAAATCAGGTTGACTTACCTCTATTCTCAAAACTTCTAAGAAGTAGGACCAGGGCTGAAACACTCAGATTTAATATTAGAAAAGCATTTTTTGAGCAAATACTACAGGCTAGGCAGGTTACTGAAATGTTTTGCAAATAATTAGCTCATTGAATCCTTGCAACAATGACACGCGGTCATTGACTTCTTTTTTGCTACTTGGCAAATAACTTCTCCAAGGGCACACACAGCTGATACGTGTAGGGGCTACATCAGGGGTGTCCAATCTTTTGGCTTCCCTAGGCCACACTGGAAGAAGAAAAATTATCTTGGGTCACACATAAAATACACTAACGTTAACAATAGCTGATCAGCTAAAATAAATAAATAAATCACAAAAAATCTCATAAAGTTAGACAAGCTTGCACAAGATCTTAAACTCAGTTCTGACAGACTTTATTGCTCTTAGCCCCATCCTAACTAGGCTAGGCACTTCCTAATGACATGATGAGTATTTCACTTATTTCTAAGTCCTATTATAAGAATACCTCAACTCATTTTTAAGCTGTAAAATACTTAATAAAGAGAAACAATCTTCTGATACTCACATATCTTTCCCAATCAATTTCCGCATAAAATCCATTTGGTGCCCCATTGCTTTTCTTCTGTAATAAAGTTGAAAATGAATTTAGAAGGAAAATATTTGAATAAAAACAAAGGAACAAAGAACATTGAACTCTTATCTGCATTTAGCAAGAGCTATCAAAATCCAGCACTGGAAAGACATATTAGAGCAGCTTATTAAGGAGCCACATTTATGTAACGGAATGGTAAATCTAGCTGCCGTGACACTGCATAAAAAAGCCTACGTACTTATTTCACAAAAGATTGTAGGATACTGAGGCACAGGGATATTAATGATGAACTGTTCAAATTTTATTCAATTACTGAAGAATTAGCAGCACCTTTATTATAATTGAATCCTCTAAACCTACAGGAGATATAGCCGTGTATATATGTATTTTAAATGGAAACATTTTTACATATAGCCGTGTATATATGTATTTTAAATGGAAACATTTTTACCTCCATGCTGCTATTATATACAATTAGTTACAACATATCCAAAGAGTACTCATCCAAGTCATTAAATAATCTTTTAGCATTTTAGCCCTGACTCAATTTTTTTGTAACTACTCCCTTGATAAAACATAGAGGAAGTCAGCTCCACATCAGTTCATTCAGCTCCTAGTTATTAAAAATAATTTTTTAAAGGACTTTTCTTATCAAATTTTAAAAATGGAATTTGAGGATTAATGGTGGATTTTTGTCATTCGTGTGATCTGTGCCTCCGTGAGCATGTATCATTGCAAGTTGACTGGATGTCAGTACTACTCTCTTCTGATTATCTTAAAGTTTTCTTTGTCCCCTAGTACAACCATGACACATGGCTACAAGCACTTGAGCAAAGATGTGGCATCACCCAAACAGATATTGCCAAGATTTTCTATGTCTTGTGAGCAAAGGACAAACACAAATCAGGTTGGTAATGGAGGGTTCATTCAACATTCTTATATTTAGCACATGGGACAAGGGTATGTCACTGCGCATAGCAGATCTCAGAACAACACACATCAAACGGTGATGCATGAGGCTTGGACACAGGACCTCTAATTTTGCAATAACAAATAAAGGCCACTTGAACTGCAATGTAAACAACTAATACCCAATTTGACAAATAGGTGGAGAAATAAGCTTTTTATGTGTGCACATAGGATCACTAGATAACCCAGAATCATCATCATCATTGAATAACAGTGAATGTTGACTAGGCATTCTATGGAATAGCAGGGCTTTGGCAAGGGTAAATAATGCACAAGAAATAGATAATGTGCTCATGCCCTCTGCCTTCCAATACACTACCACGGCACTAGAATTTACAATGATAAGAACTGGGCCATGCCTTGCCTCCACAGACCAGCATCCATGGACATAAGGTCTGTGACCATCTCCCTCTCTGTCCCACTCCTGACATAGATTATTTGTATGCAGACTACATCATTTTAATCTTCTCACATAATTGCCTTCATTGAATTAGTGCTTCGGTGGTATTTCTTCTACTTTGAACAAAGGTCTTTGTAAAACCTGTCATATCAACTCTGCCTGTGTATACCCTACAAAGCTACTGTTGAGAACTGGTCCATTACATAATGTGACACTTAATACAAATGATTCTCTCACTTGGGTGTAGACAGGGCTCCTATTTTCTCTTTATCATATTTACTTTCTCTTTTAATTCCTGCTTTACCAATCTGTTTGTATATGACTTCTTTGCAAAGTGCTCCACTCCTTCTTAGAAAGCATATATAACAAACAAGTTCAATATAGACATTTAATTTATATTGATAGGAGATCAAAAGGACTAAGCAGATTCCAGAGAAGTAAACTCATGAATTTTGTGATCTAGGATTGTTATCCAAAACCACAGATTAGATAAATTACTGAGTTCAAAATTTTCAAAGTTCTACAGTTTGCTTCCATGATAATCTCATCTTTGTAACTAAGGCCCTTAAAAACCAAGATGGCTTATATGTTCAGCTAAACAGTTTATATATATATATATACACACACACACACACACACATTTGTTTGTGTGTATGTATGTATGTGTGTACATATACATACACACATATATACATACACATGCATATATATAAATAAACATACACAGATACCTACACACACACACAGATAAATATATATATATATGTATATTTGTTTTTCTTTCTTTCCTGACAACATATATCTAATATTGTAGAAAGAAAGGTGAGTTCTAAATCTGACGATCTAGGCAGAGTGAAAATTTCCCAGTTTGCATGAAAACCAAAGGAAGACTGAGATAAAAGGGAAGCAAAACTTGTAGAAATTTTTTCTTCAAAAATAGGGACACTTTAACAACAAATACTAAAAACCAACAACAAATCATAACAATACATTATTTTTCGTAGATATTCAACACACACATGCACACACACACACACACACACACACACACACGGCTTTATTAGAGGAATTTGGTCTCAGTTATGCCAGTGGATTACTACAAATATCTTTGGTTTTCCAAGTGGAAATTATCAAGTTAAAGCTAAGTCAGAGCCTGGATGGAATTCTTCTGGCCTAAACCCAAGAAAAAAACAATTCTTTGTTGGTTTAACCATTGAGAAAGGTGCAACTGTAGTACTAGTAATAGTGAAGATAATGAGTCTACTGATTTTCAAATGGAAAACTTTCAAGAAGAAGAAGCAAGGAAGAATATCAGTTACGTGGGGAAACACCACTTAAAAACCAGGCTTAATAGTGAAAGAAGTATCAGTTATTTACCAACATATAAACAATGATTTTTCTCTTAGAATTGTAATTATATAGATTTTTACCTCTTCCTTTTATTTTGTATGTTTTAAAATTCAAAAATCCTACCTTTAGCATAAGTAACTTTTATAACTTAAATATGACTATTATTTAAAGATAATTGAGGCTCACAGTGATGCTAATCATGTCTTCATAGGTATTTTACTTTGGTTAGCATATATTATCTGTTTTTATATAATATGATGGGCTAAATAGATAAATATAGTGACAGTTATGTTCAATCATACACTCATCAAAGTTCTCAATTTCCATTGGGAATGCCTCTGGTTTTCAAGGTCAGTTCATGGCCAGGTAATGATCCTTGGGTGGGGCATGTTAAAGGTACATGATATACTGCCTAAATATTATCTTTTCTCCACTGAGGTAGACTTGACTCACTTTGTAATTAATTCTATAGAACAGCACTGCCCAATAGAAATATCTGTGAAGAGGGCAATGTTCTACCTGTGTGCTATCCATGATGGCAGCCACTAGCCACAAGTGGCTATGGAGTACTTGAAATGTGTCAAGTGCAACCGAGGAACTGAATTTTAATTAAATAGTCACATGTGGCTACCATAATGTACAATACAGCTATGGGTACCACAGAGTTTGGGCTAGGGTCTGCATCCCTGACTCCATGTTCTTTGGTCAAATACACTGGTTCCTACAGATCAAGTTTCTGCCAAATTCCTGATGTTATTGAGATAGTGCTTATCCTAAGAAATGACTACCCAGTTTATGTGGTGATATTTCCATTATAGCCAAAGGCTTCTTTGTAGATAGTAGATTCTTTTTAAAATTTGAATTCCTGTCCTTTGTCGATGAAACAGGAAACACACATCTTTTATGTGTGATTACTCTTTAAAAGTACATTCAGATGTCAGTCCATAAAGTCTGTATGGTTAATTTAAAAATTGGCCCCAGATATTCAAGAAGTAATTTGGAAATACCTAAGAGTTTTCTCAAATGGAGTAAATGAAAACTACTGTGTTTTCCAAATTTTAAATTGGGATTTTACTCACTGTTTTTAATAACCCTTTGGAAATTTTAAACTAAAATCTGTTTCCTTACCGAAACTTTTTTTCCTCCTTCACGCGCACACTCTGCTTTGCTATTGTAGGGTGGTTCGTGTGGGCTGGGCTGCTGGAATTGATTGTTTTCATGTAGAAAAAAGTGGTTAAAAGATCTGCTTGTTCTTCAAGACACATATAAAGAATTACATGGAGTCAGCAAACATACCATAGAAGAAACCATCTCTAGGCCAAATCATACGGCCTACCAATCTTGGCAGGGTTCCTTAAGCAAAGAGTGGACTTTGGGGCCCATAATGAGGCTCTATTCAGCAGGCCAGCTTGGTTAGGCCAAGAGAAGAAGGGAGGAGGAAGAAGATGTGTCCCAGGCACTAGGGACCATGTGGATCTATTTCTTATTACACGTAGAGAACAGGCACAAGGACACACAAGAAGAGACGGAATAAAAATGTTTGTATTTCTAACCTAAGTGGGAAAAGTTCAGTTTAGCCTGGATCAAAGCCTTCCTGCGGGTCACCAATACATACAGCACACACAGCTGACAGCTCCAAATCTGTGCCCTTTCCTGCACACCTGTTCAGGGTGATAAAAAATGACCTTTGCACAGCAAGGGCTATGACCCTGATGCTCCAAGTTTATGTGTGGAGGGAAACTGGAACTGCTTAGAAAAAAGTTAGTTTGCCCTGCACAAATTAGAGTTTGTGTCTAGGTTAGGATGCATCGTCACACTTGGACACCATGACAGACAGCTCTGCCAGTGACGGGTACATTCAGCCAGTGGGGAGCAAGGCCCACCTTCATGCATGCAGCCCTGCCTCGAAGCCTCTATAGGTTAAACCTCAGAAGCATTGTCACCAGAGATGAGCTTCGTTGGATTTTGAGAAACTGGCATTAAATAAACAACAGTACATTAAAGTTTATGTTCACCAAGTAGTTTATCAACATTAGGTAGGTGCACCACCACCTGTAGTTTGTGGAACTACATTAATGAAACCACACATTTCAACACTTGACATTCAAAAGGCAATAATTTGAAAGCTATATCAGTTAAGCGAAAGTGGACTGGGTCTATAGAAACAAGGGCTGAAGAAATCATTCTGAGTTTGAAGGAAAATCAGGTTGGTATCTCTGAGAACTGAATGCAGATAGAAACTCAGATAGCACTGGTTTCTAAGATTCAGTGACCATAGTAAACGTGGAAGGCTTGGAGAACATTTCTAAATAGTAAAACCAGCAGCTGGCTAATAATGTCCAATTACCTATAAAGCCTGTTTCTGAGGAAGTGCATTTATTTTGAATGTAGCCTTTTCCGGAACAGGTCTGTGTTATTTTCTAAGAAGTCAAAATTAACTAATTTATCTTTCCTAATAATCACGATCAGTGATATTTATGGCATTTCTAATTAAGTAACCAAGTGGGCACGACTGCTAATAAAGAACTTCATATGATTTGGAATGGTGAAGGACTTGGGGAACTCAGGCATGAAGCCCTGCCCTGGGGGGATGCATCCCCAGAATGACTGCTGGGTTCATTAATGCAGCACATACTCATCATTGCCTGCCACGTGTCAGCTGCTGTACCAGGTACCAGGGTGCACATTCTACCAGAGATTTAAACTGGTGCTGTTCAGAACACAGAGAATAGTGAGGCAGCAAGGGGCCTTAGAGACAATGAGCAGGGGTTCGGAGAAAGAAAATGAGGACAAGACTGAGAGTGGCACAGGTAGAGAAGCAAGAAACAGCAATCCAGTCTGGGAGCAGCGAGGATAGGAAGCAGAGTAGCTAACAGAGTTTGCAAAGGTCAGAGGGGACCAGAGAACCCAGGGAGGGGACCAAGCCAGAAGCAAAGAAGAGACACAGAAGCAGAGAGTACCTGAGACAGAGTTAACGAGAGGGCTCTGAGCCAGAAGCAAGAGGTGAGGAGAAGCTGAGTCTTCTGGGTCTTTTTTTTCCCCTGCTGAATAGAGCCTTGATTATAGTGTTACCCAATGTCTGATCAATTTCAGTCTATTTTCTTAACATTTCATGGTGAGAACCACACGAAAGCAAAAGGCACCCCAAAGCTAAGAACCTTGAGTCAAGTGTGGAAGAAAAATTCCTGCTATAGCTGCAATTAACACCCCAGTTTAGGTATAATATTGTGAAGGGTGATTTAAGAAATTTTTTAACCATCAGGTTTATTTTAGTTCCCACTCCAGCCCAATGAGCCTAATGTAAGTCCATTTTTTTTTTCAGTAACAGCTGTTCTTTTGAACCTTCTGAATAGGCATCTGATTTAGATTTGAAGGAAGTCATTTTAGGAGTCGGTGCAGACTCCCATAAGCGCAACTCGGATAAATCTAAGCCCATGCACCACGGACTTCTTTAAAAAGCAAGAATTCTGGCGGCCAGCAAGGAGTCACAGCTAACTGTTAGATCTAAACCCAGTGGACACTTTTTCCTCTTTCAGACTGTAAATTCAGGCTTAAGTGGTTTTCAAGACCATCTCCTACTTTTGAATTTAATATAGAAAATGTATCTGCAGCACAACTACTAAAGGGGAAAAGCTTCTTTCAATTTTCTTGGATCTCAGCTTCATTACAACTTTGTGGCCTCTGTCGGAGAAAAACATTCTCCCATAATGAACTTTTGCATCATTAAATTGGAAATGAAATAACAGTTGATGGGAGCAGCCCCTGCATGAACTGTCTGGCTTGCGACCCACCATCTGTTGGCCTGCCTGCTCTGGGGCAGGGTTTTAGGTAAATGCCATAAATAAATCTAGCTTGACCAAGACTACATTTATGTCCCATGCAATTAATATAGAAAATTACAATAGTAAGAGGTCTAAAAAGTCATTCAAGGTATTTTTTTCCATACAGGAAAAAAAAATGGGGCTTTGAGAAATTTAAACACAGCATATATTGACACAAACTCAGTAAAAATGGTTATTTAAATACTTACAATTCCATCTCTATCTGGTGAACCTCTGTAACAAAAAGAAATTGATAGCTATTATGCTAAGGAATCATTCTTGCCACATAGACTAAAGTACAGCAGTAAGAACCATTAACCACTACCCTCCCCTTCCCCAGCATTCCTGCCCTGGTAAACCTGGCTAATGAAAACTAAATCAAAACAAATTGGTTGAGTGATATTTAAGTGTGGGGTATGTGTATGTGGGAAGGAAATTCTCATTAAAAAGCTGGAGCCCAAAGCCACAAGTGGGTAGGGTAGTGCCTTGGTTCATTTTTGAGAGGAGAGTTTATTAAAGAGACTCCACTCTAGCTGGCTCCATTTAAAACTATCATGAGGCAAGTAAACCAATGTGCTGTCTCACCTGTGTATTTTTAAGAGATGGGGTCTTGCTATGTTGCCCAGGCTGGAGTGCAGTGGCTATTCACAGGCACAATCAAAAGCATACTACAGCCTTGAACTGCTGGGCTCCAGTGAACCTCTGCGCCAGCCTCCTGAGAAGCTGGGATTGCAGGAGAGAATCACTGACCCCAGCCCTTATATCTTTGCTTCTGTGAATGGTCCTGAATTGCCTCCTACATGAGAAAGCTTCTGTGGTATTTTTCAACTTTATTTTGAGAATTGGTACTTTCCTCCGTATTTCTATGTTTACTTCTCCTTCCATTATAGAAGAGCAGGAAATGGAGAACAACATTTTGCTAAATGGCTCCTTCTGATGACTAAAGCCCAGGGCAGCTATTCTATGGTGGCACCATGCTGCAGTAGTCAAGAGCAAGGGCTTTTGAGTAAGATGAAGCTGGGTGTCCAAATAGCTCTGTGACCTTGAACACTTAACCTCTCTAAGCCAGTTTAAATAAGGTAATATAGAGAGAACTTACAACAGTTCCTGACACATGGTATTCAAAACTGTGAGTTGCTTATAATTCCTTTTCTCTTCCAAGATATCTCTTCACTAGAAACACGAAACTGCCCACTTGCAGCCACACTGGACGTTAAAGTATTAGGGGTATTTTGGAAAACTGGATTAGAGGAGCAGACGGAGAAACTAGAAGGTAGCCACTGTAATTTTGTAACTTCCCATTTTAATTCAGTTTTTAAGAGGCAAAAAATACAGGGATACTTATTACGCTTGGAAAGGGACCTGCATTATTTGGAAGAAAACCTTAATAAGTGCTTAAGGTGAACTGTGATATCTTGAGGAGTTTGGTGTGGGGTTGGAATCATTCTTCAGAAGGTGCAATCAGGTAAGAGAATTATTGCTTAATGGCAGGGAGCCAGTGAGAAAAGAGAGAGAGAGAGAGAGAGAGAGCAATGCAGAGAGTTGGTGGGATGCCATCTAGACTCCAAGGTGTGATTCCCTTTCCCCACCAACATCCCTTCAGAATTAGCGGAATATTCTACTTGGATTATAATACACTTGACAGAGTGCATATTTTTCATAACTAGTGAGTTCTGTGTCCACAGAGATGCAAAGGTGAATCAGTGATAGAGGGGCAAGAAACAGAGAACATCCTAATATTGAAAGACCATGGGAATTGACAGAAATCTTGAGACTTTTGGACATTACTTGGATGTGGAAATTAACCAGTTTGAAAAAATTCTATTTAAAATAGAACGATAGGAAGAATCTTAGCTGACAAAAGTACTTGTAATGAGCCAGGCGATTGGTTAGGACCAAAGGATAAAAATAATGAAAACATATTCATCACAGAGAGAATGAAACAGGTGAGTAAATCCAGTAGGTTATCATGGTCATAGTAAGCCCAGGCTAGTAGGAGAGCACTGAGAATAGGTACCAATTCATACTCATCAAAGCCAATTCTCTTTTTTATATCTATATACTTAGTCTGCCTGTCTCTCTCTCTCTTTCTTTCTTTCTTTCTTTCTTTCTTTCTTTCTTTCTTTCTTTCTTTCTTTCTTTTTCTTTCTTTCTTTCTTTTTCTTTCTCTTTCTTTCTTTCTTTCTCTCTCTCTTTCTTTCTTTCATTCATTCTTTTTTTTCTTTTCTTTCTTTCTTTTTTTCTCCCTCTCTCTCTCCCTTCCTCCCTCCCTCCCTTCCTTCCTTCTTTCCTTCCTTCCTTCCTTCCTTCCTTCCTTCCTTCCTTCCTTCCTTCCTTCCTTCCTTCCTTCCTCTCTCTCTCTCTTTCGAGATGGAGTTTTGCTCTTGTCACCCAGGCTGGTGTGTAATGGCACAATCTCAGCTCATTGTGATGTCTGCCTCCCAGGTTCAAGTGATTCTCCTGGCTCAGCCTTCCAAGTAGCTGAGATTATAGGCATGCGTCACTACGCCCAGCTAATTTTTATTTTTAGTAGAGAAGCGGTTTCACCATGTTGACTAGGTTGGTCTCGAACTCCTGACCTCAGATAATCCACCTACCTCAGCTTTCCAAAGTACTGGAATTACAGGTGTGAGCCATGGTGCCTGGCCAATATACTGAGTATTTCTTATTAGGACTTCAACTTACTAGGACTTAAGGTCTCTATATATGAGTATTTCTTACTAGGACTCCAACCTTACTAACGGAGCTGGGAGAGAGGTGATTGCATCAACTTTTGGGTAGGATGTGTTCAGAGGCACTGATCCGTGTGGGGATGCCTTTGGGAACCGCAAGCAATAGATGCGGCAAAAGCTCGGAGATTGGCCTGGCTGTGGTGTTGCCCACTGTGGATCCAGGTACAAGGTCCTATCAGTAGGGGATCTTAAAGGGGAGGCACTTGACCTCATACTTATTGCAGCTGTTGGGATGGTCTTTCACAATTTTTAATCAGAGAAACTGTGATTGTACATAGTGGCACTGGAGTCCTATTCTGATCCTTCGTCTTCTCTACTAATGGAAATGTGGCTCATGTGTCCAATGCAGTCAGTGAGCATGGTGGCTGAGGGCACCGGCTCCAGTGCCAGACTGCCTGGGATCAACCAGTGTCAATTTCCTAGCTGCAGAAGCTTGGGCAAATTACTTCTCCCCTTTTTTTCTTGGTTTCTTTATCTATAAAATAGCCAGCATAACAGTATATACCCCATAGGGCTATTAGAGGATTCAGTGGACTAACAAAAGAGAAGAACCTGAAACAGTCCCTAGAACATAATAAATGCTCATTAAATGTTTTCTAGAATAATAATTTTTATACACTATAACCCAGGATAGGGAGTGAAGAGATTTTAGCAGCCTCAGACAGTTGGGCATGTGTTCTAATTTCACTTTCTAACCCCCTGAGGTTTTATATTGTATTTTAAAATAATTTTTTTTCTTTTTCATGGCAGACTTATTGTATTTGCTGACTTCTATTTTAAAAAGAATCATCTACCATGGACTTTTGGGATCTATTTTTTAAAGTTTCAGTTGCCTTTTGTAACTACTGTCTTTTTTTTTTTTTTTTTTAACCCTCCTATTTGTCTGGGTTTTAGTTCTACCCATTGATATTTTTTCTTTTTGGTGATGAAAGCACAGACACTGGATTTTAGACTAGAATATGGACTCCAAGTCTTAGTTTCTGAGTAGCCTTCAGAAAATTACTTAACCTCCTTTGGCACTGATATTTCTCTTTAAAATTGACGTATTGCTGCTAACGTTATTTAATTACTAAGAAGACTAAAAAGGATATCAGCGCAACATATGCCCTGCACAGGGCCTGCCACTTAGCACAAGCTCTCTCCCTTCCCCTACCAGCTGCTGCAATGATGATCAAATCAGGAAACTCTGGTCATAAGCCCACTGTACATCTAAGGAGGTTCAATCAGCTGAAGTTGGTTCTGGTGTCTACCCTAGCAGGTTGCTGAACAACCCATAGTGAGTTGTAGCAGCCCTGAAAAACAGTTTGCATCAACAAGGTTTCAATGATCACAGACAAACATAAGCATTTACTAAAGCTGAAGGGACAGCAAATTGCTAGAGCGCTTTCCCAACCCCTTTGCATTTATGATTTCTTTTCCGAGAATGATATGTGATCAAATTACAGAGTTCATGAAAGCATTAGGGAGTTCATGAAAAGCAAAGGCTTATACTAAACATACTAAACAGCTTGTTCTTTGACCATTACTGATGGTGGAACCAGCTTCAGCTATTTTGCTATCACATAAGTAATTTGGGACTCTCAAATGACAAGAAGTTAACGAAGGATACTTGGGATTCTTTAAACAAATGTCTTATTAGAGTACCTCAGAGAGATATTTGGCCTCTACCCATAGCTGCGAGGAATAACTCAGTTATTTTAATAGCTTCAGAAATGGTGATGGAAGAGTAGTGCTTTGGCTACATGTAAATTAGTGCAGCCTGCCCTGGAGAGATTGTTCAACCTCTTCTCTCTCAAGAAAGCTTTTTCCTTTTTAACTTTCCTCGCATGCCAGAAATCTCCGGTTTGGTCAGTTACAGACATTGTCTTCCTTCAGAAATGGATTTAGTTTCTGTTAACGATGTTCTCCTGAGATCCATCAAATAGTGTCCCACACAACACCTGGCACTACGAATCCTATAATGCCTTCCCTTATATGACTCACATAGTGTCTGGCCCTTTAGGGAAATTCGATTCCATTTAGTGTAAATTTCTTTGTTGTTGTTTACAGGTGTGGAAAATGAGGCCCAGCAAAGTAAAGGGTAATTCCCAAAGCCATGGAGTTTGGGCCGTGCTGGGACTACAGCCCAGGTCTTCTGATCTAGTGAAGGCATCAGCACATATTCTGGGTGGTTAATGATTAGAAAATGGCAAACTTCTTAAGAAACAATGTAATTTATATAATCCTCAGAAAAATATTCCTAACTTAGTTATTTAGAAAAATTTGCAGGACAACAGTAAATGTAATATCCATGAAATAAATAGTTACAAAAGAAAATGAAAAAAGAAAATATAAGAACTTAATATTTGGCATCTAGACAAAAAATAACTTCGTCCCCCCAATCCTTTACACTCTTTGGCTTAAAAAACTTTCAAGGTTTCAAGGTGGCCCACTGCCTATGGAAGTAGCCCACACACCTCAGCCTGGTACTTAAGGCCCTTCCTATCTGGTCCTGGTCTCCTTTCCAGCCTTGCCTTCCATTATCACCTTTACCTGTAACTCCCAAGTAGACAAACTGCCCCATTTGTCATGTCAATAAATGCCTAGTGGACTTTTCTACCTTTCTGCTTTTGCTTTTGTTGTTCCCTTTGCATGAAATACCCATCCTCATCTTCTTGAAGGCCAAACTCAAGTCTCCTCCCCTACCCTGAAGCATCACTGATCATCAATCCAAATATGAGATTTTTCACCCTCAAATTCCCATGAAATCCCATCTTAGTTGCTTGTAAGGAACTTACACATATTAATTTGTGTCAGTAATAATAAGAGTACCAGTAGCTGCCATTTGCTGAGCATTTACTAAGTATTAGGTACCATATGAGTCATTTCAAATATGTTACCTCATTAGTTGTATAAACAATACTTTAATTTGTGTAGTAGATATTTTGTCTCATGAATCATAAATTCTTAAAGGACAAAGGCTCAGGGAAATACTCAGGATCTTGTGATAAAATTTATGCATGATAAAAATATACAGAATGAAAAGCTAAAGGCGAGAATAAATGTGGCTTTCTTCATTTTCACCTATGCCCATACAACTATTGCTGTTCCCTTTTTCTAACTTTCTTTCAGAGATTCTAGCCAAATGAGGGGTATAATGGGTTCAATTCTGATGTACAGCAAACTACATCAGATCTGCATTTCTACCTGGTCACAACCATCTGCAGCTGTGCTCTCCCTATACTGGTCGTGGGATGGAGTCTCAAGTTCCTGGCCAGTGGACTTCACGTATATAAGTTACCTGCTTGGCTCCAAAAGTCTACTGAAATTTTGTGTCAGAGCCAAATACTTCTGCAGGAGAATTCAAGATGGTCAAATACGTGGAAGGAAGTTAGTGGAATGAAACTGTTATGTCATTGGACATTTTCAGGGTCTATCAGTGTCTGTGGGCAACTAATTCTCTTGGATATGATCACTTAAATATGTAAAAGCATCCCCACAGTTGTTTCTGGCTTTTGTTTCTTATTCACTGCTAAATATCCAATCATTCCTGAATTCTGTTGGTTGATTTACAATTCAGCTTGTACAAAATCTTGGCATCTCAAGTAAGAGCTTTGAGATGTTATGTAGTCTACATTTCTGTTTCTGGCTAGGTCTAATCTATCCAAACAGGTGTTTTGTTATTTCTTTAGTTCAGATCATAGGCTCAACTCTATATGTGGAAATGAATTCTTTTTATCCTTCATAAAATTAACAGTCACATTTTCCGCCTCCTGAGACTGCTGGGAAGTGTAATGATTTAAAAAGAAAAGAAAGAAACACAGGATTAAAAATTGAACATGTGATGAAAAATTTTTACCTTTTTAGCATAAATCTAAGAACTGTTTATATTGAATAATTACAATTTACTCAGAAATGGGGAAAGCAAATAGTACACAATATCTGAGAAAACTGTGTGGCAATCTTATATTGACTGTGACAAGAGCATCTCTTATGCAAATAGCTTCTTCGAGGAGGCAGACTCCTAAAGTACATACGTAGAATCAGTGTCCTTTTCTTTCTTCCGTATTCCAAAGGCCTTCCTTGTACGTTTTTTCAATCCTGTGGGAAAACAGCAAAGGATCAAAAACTCAGCAACATTCAAGTGAACATATTTTGAAAGTTGTAACACACCAGTTAGACTTGAATGTTTAGAAAGCAATGAAGTTTCTGAAGTTGTATGTATAGGTATGTGTGTTTGCATATTCATATGACTCATTAATACATTTTTCAATAGTTATCTATCAAGGACTTCACACCATAAGTTCTTAGCACTATAAGCAACACAAGGATGCATGGGTATAGAAAAGATTGTAAGATTTTCTTAGACTACTGTTATTCATCACCCATATTGGGGTTCTGCCAAGAAGTCAAATCACAGATTTAGAAGAATAGCCATTTTCAGGTTAGACATATTCTTTAGACTGGGATAATGCCAAGACAGAGATCATGTGACCCATGCCAAGAGAACTGCACAGATCTGACACATCTCTGTGTCCCGTATTCCCATCTTATCTTTTACTACCTTCTCCAGTCTGTGGCTGCACTGAATTATGAACCATTCTCTGAACACACCCCAAAATTTGCACTCCTGTATTTCTTTCTTTCTTGTGTGGTCCTTACTTGTGATTGAAATGCTTTCCCTATTTTGTGGACATTTAGAATTTCACTTCATCCTTTAAGGCCCAGGACAAATGCCACTCCTTCTGTAGGGCCTCTTAATCCTGGAGGCGTAAGACACTGATTATTCTGTGTTCCCCCCCAAGATGTTGCTCTTATATGTAGGATATATCAAATGGTATCACCTATTAGTTTCTGTGTCAGTTTCCCTAGTAGACTGTGATCCTTTCTTGAACAAAGGCCAAGGCTCCCTCATTTTTAAGTCCAGATAATATTTGTGATTTAAAATGTCTTCCAGGAAGCACCATTCAAGCAGCACTAGCTAAGAAAGCCCTTTTCTTCCATCCTGACAAGCCAAGTACAGTCTTGGTTCTTTTCTACTCATCCTGTCAAAGCTGTTTGGGTTTCCCACCCCCTACATGATCTATAGTTACAGACATGCCTTCTGCGTCTGTTAGTGAGTATTATTCAAATAAATTAAATGTTTATGTATTCAAACCTTAGACTTGTTATTGGTGGTTTGGAAAGTCTTCTTGAGAAATTGGAGCTGAGAGAGTCACTGATATTTCAGATTTGTTTGGTACTGCCAGGTGGAACAAAGGGAAAAACAATGACAGAATCAGTGAGTTGATGATACGTTTTTCTAAAACATGTGAGTCAGCCCAAACCACTCAGATTATCTGAGTCATTCATTATCTGCCTCTTAGGATACTACTCAAATACAATCTTCAAAATGTCTCTGTTCCATCTAATTTTGTATTTTAATAGTCATCCATTTAAGACATTTAGGTCTTTAAAATGTCAATTTTTTAAAAACTCCTCCCACATAAAACTATTTTCTGTTACTTACCACATGATGAGTTTATAGGAAAACATATTGACATTTAAAACTACCCACCCATAATATTTAGAAACATCTTCTCCCCTTTTATTTTTTATTTTGTTTATTAAAAATTTCTTTCTCACCTCTAAATGTCTTATTCCCTTATAAGGACAAAGTATCATAGTTACATAATCATCAGTCTATCCCTACAATTTTCCTTGGGTTTCAAGTCTCCTAATTGGCTTTTCTTTGCTTCTGATTTAGCTTTGAGCTCACAATGAATGCCATATTCAGCAATCACCACTGGTTTTTACAGGACTATAAAACCAATGCTATTATCATCTCAGGGTTTCAAGTGTGTTATTTCCTGTAACTTGACCTATGAGATAAAAAATAGCATGCCTTACCAAATATATCAGAAAATATACACACATTCCAGTACTCTTTGTATTAAATTGGTAACAGAATGGGAAATAGTAGTTTTCCATAGACCCTGTGCTGGTTTTGACCACCAAGTTTGGACAATAGCCAACATGAACTAGGTCATGAACATCATGAGTTGTCCACTTCCCAGCGAAAAATAAATGCACCGAATCAGGATCCAGGAGGCAAAGAGTCCATTCCCAGCATCAGTTCTAATTGCATAGCTTAATATAAGTTACATTACCTTTATGTTTCAGCCTCTCAGCCTATAACAAATCAGCCAATGATAAGAGACAAAAGAATCTGCACATCTTCACAAAATGCCATGCCTATATCTGTAGCTTTACTTTCACTGGAAATCATGTTTTTAACACATGAAATACACTTATACATAGAATGTAAATAGGAATACACCAAAGATGTGAAATTCTAGAAAAAAATGCCCTAATCAAATTGTTGAATAAGAAAAAAATGTTGGGCCAGGCTCAGTGGCTCATGCTTGTAATCCCAGCCCTTTGGGAGACTGAGGCAGGTGAATCACTTGAGGTCAGGAGTTCGAGACCAGCCTGGCCAACATGGTGAAACCCCGTCTCTACTAAAAACACAAAAAATTAACCTGGTGTGGGAGCACACACCTGTAGTCCCAGCTACTTTGGAGGCTGAGGTGGGAGAATTGCTTGAACCTGGGAGGCAGAGGTTGCAGTGAGCCAAGATCATGCCATTGCACTCCAGCCTGGGTGACAGAGTGAGACTTAATCTCAAAAAAAAACAAACAAAACAAAAAAAAAAAGGTTGAAAATATTTTACTTCTTCAAAAGTGGAAAGGTTTAAGAAGTTTACAAAAAATATGAAGGAAACTGAAAGACTAAAGCAAATGAAGTTATGAAAGTCAGTTTTTCATACCTTAATGAATCTTTTAGAAGATCCAAGGAGAAAACAATCGCAACAACTGCGTTAAAATTGAGTGAAGAGAGGTGTGCTCATGTCTTTTGAGAATTCATCAAAAAATACTGAAACTCTTCAACAGAGAGCAACAATAGTCAAGGATCTTACAGGAATAACAAATTTAAGACACTATGTTCAATAATCTGATAAGTTTTAAAAACACTATATCCAATGATTCTCCACTTCAGGTAGTTACAATTACAGTATAATTACCTCTGGGGTGGAGCATAAATTTTTTATCAATTATTTTTTTACCAAAAATGGGAGGGCAAAAACTAAGTGTCCTTTAAGAAATGCAATGACTTTTCTCTTGCCAACATCAAAACAAAATCATCTAAAGGGAAAGAATTTTACTGTCTTGATAATCCGGGGTTAGAATGGTTCTCTCCCAAGCTATGGAATTGAGAACACTTTCCTATGTGAATCCAAAACTGCTGTAATTCATCAGCCACACTGTGTGTCTGTCCTATGCCCCTAACTTCTCCACCGAATTCAGATTTCTTTAGCTTCTTTTGGTGTTGTGGGAAACAACCACAGACACACACACACACACACACACACACAAATTAAGTATAAATGGATTTTTAAAAGGTTGAAAACTTATTTCAAACTAGGCAGCCCGGTTATAATGTTACCAGACAAATGCCATCAATATCTTACCAGATAAGATAAATAAAGCAATATACGTAGAAATAGATAATAGTGATAGTGTCAAAAATACAGAATGGGAAGAAGTTTTGTCATTAGAATACTACCAGCTACCACTGCTGAGGTCCTGCCTATTGCCCAGGCACTGGTTGCATATGTTGCCTCATTTAAATCTCTTACAAACTTTGTGAAAAAGTAGGTGGTATTTTTCCCTAAAGTAGTGAGTCTGAGAGTTTGCCTAAGTTAAGTTTTATTATCTTCATCCCCAGTGAGGAAACAGGAGGCTACTCTTACTCCAGTACTCCCCAGAATGTTGGGGTTATTCAGGGCTTTGTCCTAGGGACTTCTACATCTTTTTCTGAGCGTGATTTCATCCACCAATGTGGTTTCATTCATCATATGTATGCAGAAAAATCCTGAATTTATAGGTGAGACCCAGCACAATCTCATGAACTTCTGAATACAGAGTACTTCTCATACTCAGGCTCCTACAGAGACACCAGATTTCTTCAAAAACCTTCAGACTCTGCTTATAATACATATGTAATAAAAGCTGTAAAGATATGCCCAATCATTTAGTTTCTAATTATCTTGTGAATGAAATTCCTTTTAAAATGAAATAGCTCTCCATCAACAGATAAATGGATAAGCAAAATGTGGCCTAGCCATGCAATGGAATACTATTCAGCCATAAAAAGGAATAAAGTACTGATACAGGCTACAATATGAATGAACCTTGAAAATACTATGCTAAATGAAGGGAGTCAAATGCAAAGAGCCACATATTGCATTATTTCATTTATATGAAATTTCCAGAGTAGGCAAATTGATTAATACAGAAAGCCGATTGGAGGTTGAGAGAGGCTGAGTGAACGGGGAAAGGGGAGTGGCTGCTTAATGAGTACAGGTTTCCTTTTGGGGTGATATAAAGTTCTGGAACTTGATGGTGGTTATGTTGCACGACATTGAGAATGTACTAAATGCCACTGAGATTTACACTCTAAAATGGTCAAAATGGAAAATTTTATTTTGTTTGTATTTTACCATGATAAAAAAGAAATGGAATAGTTCAAGCCTGATTATTCTGTGACAAGGGAGGACAAGGAGGGGAATAAGTGGGGAAGAAAAGAAAGAAACAAGGCAGATTGGCTTAAAAGTTTGTGGCACATGTTACTGCTTTTGTTTTTGTTTTGTTTTGCCAAAAAAGTTGTCAAATATTTAGTAAAGAAATCAATACAGTCACGAATTCCTGTTCATAGTAACCTTCAGTATCAAGAAAGTAATATTTCCATGAGAATTTACAACAGGACATCCAGCTTTTCTTGCTCATGTGTCAGATGTTTGCAAAACAGCTTTTCATAAGCAAATGCATTTTTGTCATGATGCTTGCTCCTTTGATCTGTTCTCCTAAAATCACAATATTATATTAGTCCCACTAGATGGTGAACTCCATGAAGTCAGCAGCTCCATCCATGCGGGCATCTTGTTTATTTTCACCTCCCCATGTCGCATGAAAAGAACATTCTTTAAAATCATTTGTGCAATTGTATTAAAAGAGAGGCACTATTTCTCAATCCCCTTTTCAAACTGCAAATAAGGCCCC